GGGTAATGCTCTATTCGACCTACGGGTCGAATCAACTCCCTCGGGGACTACCCGGACAATATACGATAGGAGTGACCCGAAGACGCCAATAGGGGGGGCTCTAAGGGGATTATCTCCCTCCTAGCTCAAAAGCTCAAGGCATGAAAATGGAAATCCAACTCATGCCATTCATGAAAACATCCATTAATCAAGTAGAATCATCACTCAAACATGGAATGTGTCACATACATCAACATTAAACCCAAATCTAGACATAGGGTTCTTAAACCAAGAGAAGAGGGTTAGTTTCTAGAGAGAGAGATGAGAGATTACAAAGAAACCACTAGATCTTCTTCTATGGTTGATTACTTGCTTCCAAGCTTGATCAATGCCTTAAATTAAGGTCTAAGATCACTCTCTCACTCTCTAGAAATCCCCTTTGGTTTTTTGGGTCGAAACCCTAGAGAAAGAAAGTGTTCATTCTCCAAAAACCAGCTCTCCTTTCTCTCTCCCCACTAATGTCTTCATATTTGCCCGAAAGTGCCAATTCACGGTCGTGTTGGCGAGTTCACGGCCGTGAACAACAGAACGCATCCGTGAACTCAGTTTCGTTCCCAATACGCACCGCTTCACTCCCCGGGATTCTCGGTTTGTACTCAAAGTTCACGATCTTAGAGACCGTGAACTGCCTTGTGGTCAGTAACCTCTGAAACCTCGTTGGACGCCTCGCTGTTCACGGTTTGTGGTTCCAGTTCACAGTCTTAGGAGACCGTGAGCTCCAATGGGAGACCGTGAATTGCAGCTGATTCCTGGACACCTGCGCTTCACTGTCACGAGGCAATCGTCACAGTCTTTGGACTTTTCTTTGGTTTTTGCGCTTTTTGACCTCCAATCGTCCCGAAACTAGTCTTTGACCCTTCCACACATGCTATGACCTTAAATGTATCAAAACAAGCACAACCTAGCGTGAAACATGTCGAGGAACGATGAAATGCAAAGTCAAACTATCAAGAAACGAGGGGCAAAATGTGTACAATTTGATCCGAATCACCCATGCACTATATGGCCAAGTATAATTCATGATGAACATTAGATATCCCAAAACTCGTGTGTAATATGCTTGAGATTCACTTTCACCTTTATTATTATCAAGTATTTTCTCAATATAGTGAACCTGTGGTAACGTTAGACCTTTAGGCGGTCGATAAATTTTAATACCCAAAATATAATTGGCCTCCCCGAAACATATCATACGAAAGATCAAGTTAGCATTAGTTTCGTAGCTTCTATGTCAGTAATGTGTTTACTCATTATTAACATATCATCTACATAGAGACAAACAATGAACTCGCGATCATGAGTGCTTTTTAGGTAGACACATTTATTGCACTCATTAATCCTAAACCCATTTGACAACATTACTATGCCAGATTTATGGTGTCGTAGCTTAGGAGATTGTTTAAGTTCATATACTGACCTAACCGATCTACATATACCTTATGTTCTTCTCCGGGAATGATGAACCTTTCAGGTTGTTTCATCTAGATTTCTTCCTCCTTGAATCCATTTACAAATGAAATTTTTGCATCAATTAAATGGATATTGAGACCATACAGGACAACCAAAGCGATTAGCATCTGAATAGATGCAATCCTTACGACTGGTGCATATGTGTCAAAGTAGGTAATACCTTCCTTTTGTCTTACCTTTGGATTCACAAGTCTTGCCTTTACTTGTTAATATCACCATTAGTATTTCAATTTCCATTTGAAAATCCATATAACCCAATGCTTTATTACCGAGAGGAAGATCCACCAATGCCCATGTGTGACTATTCAAAATGAAAGTAGCTTCACTATTGACATCTTCTTTCCAATATTGAGCTTCTGAAGAATTCGGGACAAAATGATATGGACTCTATTTGATGTTTACTACGTCGAGGCTCATCAATATTGGACTCACTTTTTGATCTAATTTCTCAAGGCCGATTGGAGTTTTCTCCTAGGAAGGGGATGTGTCCTCCAAGAACTCTGCATCATCAGACTCTATGACAGTATTAGAATGGATACTGAGAATTTTCAATTTACAGACCAAAAAATGATGTGTCGTGCTATTAATCTTGGCATAACCAACAAATATGTAATCTATCGTTTTTTGACCTACCTTCGCCTCTTCTGGTTTTGGGACTCGCACCTTTGCCAAACATCCACACTTTGAAGTATATCAAGTTTGGTCTTTTTCCTTTCCATTGCTCATATGGAATGATTTGCATCTTAATGTACTATACTCTATTTAGTATTTGTGTGGTAGTAAGTACATCTGACCCCACAGATTTTGAGGTAAACCAGAATTTAGGAGCAAAACATTCATAATGTCCTTCAAACTTTGATTTTCTTTCCACAACTCTATTATGTTGTGAGGTATATGAAGCAAGTTTGATGAATAATTTCATTTTCTAGACAGATTTCTTGAAATGGAATTCATATTCACTAACTCTATTGCTTCTTACTATTTTGATTTTCTTGTTGAGTTGATTCTCAATTTTGATTTTATATTGTTTGAATGCATCAATAGTCTCATCTTTGGTATTAATCTCATAGACATAGCAATACAGAGTGCTATCATCAATATATGTTATGGCTGAATTGTAAGGAAGACATAGCAAAGTGAATAAATTTAAGGGTTCAGAATTCATTTTGACTGAATCATAAGGATGCTTTGTAAACTTGGATTCCACACATACTTGACATCTTGATTCGTTGGATTCATACTTGGGCGATATCTCCATGTTTATCATTTTCTGTAAGAATTTGTAATTAACATGTCCCAAACGTGTATGCCATAAATAACTTGACTCAAGTAAATACACGGAAGAACTTACATTATTCTTTTTAATAGCATTTTTCACGATAATAACTTTTAGCTTGCAAAAATCATCATTGAGATAACCCTTTCCCATATACATATCGTATCTACTTACTACGGCATTCTAGGAAACAAACACAACCTTGAATCCATGCTTGACCAAAAGTGAGGTAGACACCAAATTCTTGCAAATTTCAGGTACATAGAGCACAATGTTGGTGTTACTACCTTGCTCGATGCCATCTCCAAGTCGATCTTCCCACATCCCTCGACTTTGATAGTTGAAGAGTTCCCCGTGAACAACTTATCCTCTGGTTTAGCTACATCAGAGGAGGAAAACATCTGTTTGACAACACAAACATAGCAGGGAGTACTAAATTCTATCCACCACTCCTTTGAGTTTCCAACAAGTTACTCTCAAAGAGAACAAAACACATGTCATCAATATCCATATCATTTTTGTTCTCTACCACATTGGCTTGACCCTTATTCTTGTTCTTTTTTTTATAGCACAAAAGACCAAAACTTAATGGCAAGGTTTACTAAAATTATAGCAAGCACATTTGAACCTTGTGTTAAGATGTTGTTCTTCATGCGGAGAAACTTGGGGAAGATTCCCTTTCTCTTATTTCTCTAGGAGTCGGTCTCCATAATGTTTATATATATATATATGATTGATTGTCCACAACTCTTCTTTTCAGTCAACCCACTAACCTCTTTAATTTTCAAACGGATAACGAGGCTCGTGCAAGGGGTTCTCAAGAATTCGTTTTCTCAAACGTCATCTTCTTGCGCTTGTGCTCCAAGTAACTTTTGAAATCCTTCCATGCGGGAGGCACCATCTCTATAAAGGCAGCAAATTGGAAAGCTTTGTTAACATTCATTCCTTCATTGAGAAGATCATGAGTTATTACCTGAAGTTCTTGGTCTTGCGTCACAATGGTCTTAGAGTCAACCATCTTGTACTCCAAAAACTTGGAAACAATGGATTTCTTCAATCCAACATCTTCATCCTTGTACTACTTCTCCAATGCCTCCCACAATTTCTTAGAGGTGATCATGGTACTATAGAAATTATAGAGAGCATCGTCTAGACCATTAAGGATATAGTTCTTGCAAATAAAGTCATAATGTTTCCAAGCTTATATTGCATATCCTTCTCGAGCACTTGCTCAGTTGCTCATAAGGATTGGAGATTTTTTCCTTGGTGAACTTTTAAAGTGCCAACTTGGTGAAATAGAAGTACATCTTTTACTGCCACCTTTTAAAATCCTCATAAGAGAGCTTACCTTTTTTTTTTTGTGCAAATGTGTGTGTCGCAACATGGAGCACATCATTTTGGTTTGGTGTAACTTGGCTAGGAGTAGCTACGTTTTTTTCCCACGAATGTAATTCGTTTTCTTTCTATTTCTCCTAATGGCAATCAAAATTAACAACTTATTAGTATTTTAGCCCTCTAATTTGTTATCATTGTACAACTGATTATTTCCACATGAACGATAAGATCATGCCAAATCCAAAAAAAAATTATCATTATTCACCTTCTTCTATGAAAAGATTCAAATTGGGTGCAATAGAACCTAGTCGGTAAAATCAACTTCATTAGACATGTTAGTTTTGGGATAACTTAGTAGAATATTCTATGAAAATACCAGAATGACTGAATGAGCATGCTTACTAAAGTTGTTTTACTATCGATGTACATATCCACTATCGGGTTAGTAGCTTGATTCACGAGATAGAAGATGACTTGGAGTAAGGTGATGGATCAATGTTAGCAACGAGTTTGTCTAGCACCCTTCAGACTCGTCCTCTAAAAGTAGTCTCATTAGAGAGAAGGATGATTCATTGTCTTTCAACCTCAATCTTAAAGATGGATCAATCATTAGAGTTTAACTGAAATGGGATCTTACATTGTGTCCAAGTGCGAGATATAGGGTTTGGATATTGTAGTTCAATTCTATTGTTGTACCCACAACTTATCCCTTAGACTACCTACACTCATAGCATACAATCACTTCCACCAAATCGTATACCGCCTTTCAGATGTCACATTAGTACATTATTAATTAGTCATAATATTTGTCTAGTTTATTAATTGTGAATGATGCTACTGAATCTTATAAAATTCTACTGACTAATAAGTAATAATACAGATTAGAACACTTCTTAAAAAAAAACTCCTTTGGTAAAATGAACTTCCAACTGGATGAATTTCCTTTTATCATGATTTTTGGTCTCATAAAATCGGCGGTATTTGTTTTGAAGTCCGCCTTGTTTGATCCATGATTACAAAAGAAGAGGGTTCGTCCATAAAACTCTCTTTAAAAACGAGACAGTCCAGCGAAACCAGCCTTTATCGACAGATGGAGAAATTCGAAGCAGCAAAAGAAGATACTATTACTCCTGCTCTCTGAGAAAAACCATCTCTCTGTCTCCACTCAACTCCTTTCCTCAATAGAGAAACAGAGAGAGACCCAGTCCCAAGCATGTCCTCCATGTCTGAGTCAGAGCTAGTTCGTGTGGTTCTCTTCCTTCTCCCTTCCCTCCTCACTCTGCTCCTCATCCTCATCGTCAAAACCAAATCCCACCGCAGATTCAATCTCCCTCCAGGCAGCTCTGGCTGGCCTTTCCTCGGCGAAACGATTGGCTACTTGAGACCTTTCTCCGCCACTTCCCTCGGCTATTTCATGGACCAGCACGTCACCAGGTAAAAACAGAGCATTTGAATTTTTGTAATTTTTGTTTGTGGAACAGAGTAAAACTGACTGATTGTGCAGGTACGGGAAGATATACAAGTCGAATTTGTTCGGGGAGCGGACGATTGTGTCGGCGGACGCAGGACTGAACCGATTCATACTCCAGAACGAAGGGAAGCTGTTCGAATGCAGCTACCCGAAGAGCATCGGCGGGATTCTGGGGAAATGGTCGATGCTGGTTTTGGTGGGAGATATGCACAAGAACATGAGAATCATCTCGCTCAACTTCCTTAGCCACGCCAGGCTGCGAACCCATCTCCTCAAAGAAGTCCACCACCACACTCTGCTTGTGCTCTCTTCCTGGAACCACAATTCCACTTTCTCTGCCCAGGACGAAGCCAAGAAGGTAGACCAATTTCTTGCTCTGTTTTTTTCAATCTTTTCCACCCTGCTTCGGGCTATGTTTTTTCTTAAGATTCAAATTCTTGGACTTGGGCAGTTCACTTTCAATCTGATGGCGAAGCATATCATGAGCTTGGATCCTGGTGAACCGGAAACGGAGCAGCTGAAGAAGGAGTATGTCACCTTCATGAAAGGGGTTGTCTCAGCTCCCCTGAATTTTCCTGGAACTGCTTACCGGCGTGCCTTGCAGGTTCGTTTTTACCTTTCTTTCACCTTCCTTTTCATTATCTATCATTTCCCTTTACTTAATTTCTTGTTTCTTCCCCTCCGGCGGCAGTCGCGGTCGGCGATTCTGAAGTTCATAGAGAGGAAAATGGAGGAGAGGATAAAGAGGAGCAACGAGGTGGGAACAGAGGACGGGGAAGACGACGATCTCCTGGGCTGGGTTCTGAAGCATTCCAATCTCTCGACGGAGCAGATTCTGGACCTGATACTCAGCTTACTGTTTGCCGGGCACGAGACTTCATCTGTCGCCATTGCTTTAGCTATTTACTTCTTGCAGGGCTCCCCTGCTGCGCTTCAGCAATTACAGGCAAGCCAACAAAAAAGCACAACCCACTCGTGTGCTCTTTTTCTTTTTCTTTTTCTTCTTTTGGAATCAGTAAGTGTGGTGGTCTGGTCAAAACTGATTTAACGTGACGGACAGTAAAAAAAAAAAAAACAATAATACTAAATTTACCCTCTGGTGACCTTTTTCCATATTTGGGGGCAAAAAACAAAAGGAAGAGCACAGTGAAATCGCCAGGGCCAAAAAACTAGCAGGGGAGACCGAACTCAACTGGGAAGATTACAAGAAGATGGAATTCACCCAATGTGTAAGCTCCCTCTCTTTTTACTTCCCTCCAAAAGGGCTTTCTGAAATTGTCGGCAGTAAATTTTTTTTTTTTTACAGTTTGACCTGTTGGATACAAAATGGTTTAGGACAAATGGAACTGAAATGCTGGTTTTGTTTGAAAGGTTATCAGTGAGACGCTCAGACTTGGAAACGTGGTGAGGTTCCTACACAGAAAAGCTTTAAAAGACGTTCGCTACAAAGGTAACAAACTTATAAATGATAACAAGTTAAAGTTTCATTCTCATTGTTCGATTAATTTGCATCAATCTGATCGTTCTAGTAGCAATTGGTCTGATTCGGTATTATAAATGATTTCATTGCAATAGTATTATGTCGCGTTTTATGGTACACATTGAATTTTGCTCGTAGTAATGGGATTTTGGGTTTGATTTGGGTTGGTTAGGGTATGACATTCCATGTGGATGGAAAGTGCTGCCGGTGATATCGGCTGCCCATTTGGATGGTAGTATGTTTGAAGACCCTCAACACTTCAACCCGTGGAGGTGGCTCCAGGTCAGCCCTCACTTCCACTCCTTCCGCCGTATTGTGTGGATTACACATTATTTTATTTATTTATTTACTTTAAAAAATAATTAATAAAAATAATATCCCTTTCGAATTTTAAAAAATAAATTTAGAAAAAATGATAAGAGCTTTTGTTTGTTCTCTTGGCACGACTCTGCACATAAATATTGTTACTACGCCATGAGAACGACCCTTCCTTCCTCTCTTTCATTTATTTAGAACCAGACGATTGTAATTTTATCATCATATTCCCATACAATACATACTCTTAATATATATATTTTTTTCTCTTTTTTATATAAAGCTTTTACCCTCCCTAGGATTCGGAATTTCCTTCTCGAACACAAGTACTAAATTATCCTTCAATCTAATATATAATATAAGAACGTCGTTACAAAAACACACTATAAAAACTAATCTACATGATGTATGTTGTTGTCAGATGCAAAGCAAGTTGGGATAAGTAAGCTTTAGAATTAAAAAAAAAAAAAAGACAAATACGGCTTTGCTGTCAGATATTCATCCAAGAGATCTCTGGCTGTTAGGGCAATTTAATTAATTAATTACATAGTTAAACATAATCAGGGGGGTTATGAGGTCATCTCATGCATGATCATGTTCAATAATTTAATTACAACACCAATGGCCAATGGGAGGTGGATAGCAGAAAAGTGAAAATCCAGAATACAAAAAATGAATCAGGGCCGTCGGATTAAAGATTGGGGTTGGGGGAGAAGTCAATCATATGATCTCCGTCCGTGCGTGAACTGTCGTGATCATTGAAGAGGGGAGGATGGGGTTGGTGCTTTGTTGTGGAATCGGCCCCACTGGATTTCTGCCCCTTCGTTTTTTGGGTTGGTGCGCGTGTGGGTGGGAACTTCGAGAGGGGACGATTATTAATTAATTTAAATAAAAAAACATTTATAATATTAAAAAATTCCTTTTTCCCCCTTTACTCCCCAGGCCCCCATGTGGATTGTGGGCCTATCAACTACACGTGCGCTTCTGCCTTTTTCTTTCTGTTCATCTCTCTCTCTGGGTCATCTACCTATTACTACTACTGGCCTGCTCTGCTCTCCCCGGGCCCAGTCCAATTAATATTGGCTGTGAACCCCATTCCCTTTCTTCTTTTTCCTTATATTCTCTCATTATAAATTATTATTATAATAATTGAATATTTGCGATAAAAAAATAATGTTCGAATATTTACTGTTACCTCAACTTTATTTATTTATTTATTTATTTCTGACATCAACTTAAAGCAAATTAAAAGGTTCGTTTTTCCATATTAAATTCACTGCCGCCAACAGTGAATTAGGGCTAATTAAATGAGTTATTTTAAATTAGAGGAATTCTGGTTCGTCCAAAACCGCCCAGATGAGACAAATTACCCGTTTGGTAACTGTCCATCTCATAGGTAAAAAAAAAAAAAGCAACAATCCAGAAAGGATAAGGAGAGGTCATGGCCAATTGGCCATTCCCGTTAACATCCCTAGTTTTACCGAGTCAATTTGATGACAATCTTCACTGATTTTTTTTACGGCGGTGATAACAGAACAACAACGACGGCCGGGGATCGCCAAGCGCGACGGCGGCGGCGAACAACAGCAACAACTACTTCATGCCGTTCGGCGGCGGGCCGCGGCTGTGCGCAGGGTCGGAGTTCGCGAAGCTGGAAATGGCGGTTTTCATCCACCATTTGGTCCTCAACTACCGGTGGGAATTGGCTGACGAGGACCAACCTTTTGCATTCCCTTACCTCGATTTCCCCAAGGGATTACCGATTACCGTCAAGCGCCGGGACATGGGCACCTAAGCTGATCAGGTTGCTGGGCCCGAGGCCCAGAAGAAGGGAATCCCTTTTGAGCAGCCCAGGCCTGAAAATATTGTGCAAATTGTAGAGATTTGGGTCCGTAGAGTGTAAGTCTTCTGTTCCATGCCCATATAATATGTTACATAGCAATTCAATGAGTTTGAAGAGAAGGTTGCAATTAATTATGAATGTATAGGAGGTTAGGACCATATATATTATATATATGTATCAGTTTCGCATCTTTCCCACTTGCTTCCCTGTACTTCTGCTCCACATTGTAAATTTTACTAGCTATTCAAGGCAGGATGCTTGCTATGAAATTTTGTTTCTTTACTTTAAGATTTTTCTTTTTTACTTTTACACGTATAAGCGGTATAGTTTCCGGTGCGTAACTTCTAAATCAAGTCTTGGGTTTAGATTTGGGGAAACGGATCAGGTCAGTAATCTTATGGTGAGTAACCATGAGCAACCAGCTTATATCAGCATGACATCAGCATACCTCTCTCTCCTGGAAAACCTTTAATTTTCCCCTCCTTAATCTTTGACGGACGATTTCTAACTCGTTTTAAGTCGAAAATTAATTTTTTTTTTTTGCACAGTTAGATCCGATTAATTGTGCTCTTCAAAATGATATCCACTTTGATATATTTTTCGAACAAAAAAAAAATTGAGTAATTTTTTACCAGTCTATACCATATGGTATTGACTGGTATTGAAATAAGAGCATACCTATGGTTTGAAAAGCGTATCATGATGGTATGAACAAACCAAGATTGTAGGATGGTTGAATACATGATAGTAGAAGTATATTAATTGTCATTTACGACTTTTATCATTGTGTACTACAAGATACCACCCCGTACCAGAGTGGTATTGTATGATATTGTGTGGTATCTTTTGGTCATGTAATTTGTTCACCCAGAAATTTTTAGATCCAATAGATCATGATGAACTCGTCCCTTTTGTGCAAACGTTTTCAAAAACGAATTAAAAACGAAGAAAATACCATATGGTATGCAGTTGGTACCGATAGGCCAGAATTTTTTTCTCAAAAAATATTGAAAATTGATCTCATTTTGTAGAGCACGATGAACTCGTTCCATCTGTGCAAAAAAAAATTAAAATCCGAGTTAAAACGAAAAATATATGAGCCGATTAAGAAAGTTAGGGAAAATAAAAATGATCTTTAATTCTCCATCTTTAGATCTAAATTTTCTAAATGAAGGGTCCAGATTTGATTATTGATGGGTGCATAACCGCTATCTTGAGCCTCAGATTTGATAGTTGAGATTGAAGGATTTTAAATTTTCCTACTTTTTAATTGATTGTATCGCATTCTTTTTAATTTGAATTTAGAAAAAAATTCACCTTAAGTTCATTGTGAACAACAAATGTTGTCCATTTTTTTTATTTAATTAGGGGAAAAATTGCGAACCACCCTCTACCTCCTTCATTTTAACTAGAATTTGAAAGAAAAAAAAATCATAGAAAGAAGTAGTTCGCTGTGACATGCAAAATTATGTCAATTTTTTAGGTGTTCCGGTTTCGGGATCATTAGACTAACTCCAACCCAAAAGGCTATATTTAGCCTCCCAATCTCTCAAATGTGCATTTTTGCCTCCCCAAAATACTTTTTTGCTCCAACCCTATAGGCTTCCAAATTTAGCTTCCCACATCTTTTTATTTATTTAATTTCCATAAACCATACTGATTTGCAATATCATTCTTGTAATTCACTTTAATTTTTTTATAGTTTGTTATTAGTTTTGAAAACAAAATTTTCGATGAAATTTTTTTTAATTTCGAGTTTTTTTTTTTTTTTGCAAAATTAGTCATTTTTTGTTGTCGTTATACTTTATGACCGCTTTTTTGGACCAATCCAAATATGACCGTTTTTTTGTAGCCGTTATACTTTCCAATTGGGTCCTCTCTTACTTGACATGTTTTTGTATTGAGAAATGATAAATAGATGAGAATGAGAGAAATTGATTTGAGAATGAGTGCAGAAAAACCATGAGAAGTTACTCATCATATAGAAAAAAATATGACCATTTTATGGCCGTTAAAATGTGTTCGTTGCAATGTGACCGTTTTATTGTCACTATACTCTTCTTTCAAACTAAAACGCAAACACACTCACACAAATAACCACTCAAACCAATTGAAAAGAAAAGAAAAAATACAGCAACAACAGAAAAGTGGGGGACCCCGCGTGCAGGCGAAGGCCACCCGCGGAGGCGGCTTCCTCCCGCGCGCGTGCGGCCCAGGCGCCCCTCCGCGGGTGGCCTTCGCCTGCACGCGAGGCCCCCCACCTCCAGCTGCTATATTTGCATCTTCCTCCACTTTAGCTTCTATCTATCCACCCCCCCAAGCCCACTTCTCCAAATTTGCAAGCCAAATAATTGGTGGGTTGGAGATGAAAAAAGCCAAAAACTTCTCTTTCTCTAAATTTGCATGCTTGGGTTGGAGACAGTCTTACCATCATTTACGTTTATCATAGTGGTAGACAGTGGCGGATTCGGAAAATTTTCACAGGGGTGTCCTCTTCAAAAATTAAATTTAATTATATGATAAATTAAATAATTCGTATATTAAAAATATCATACTTGTATAATTTGTATAAATTTTTTATTAAATAATAAATTAAAATTCATATTTTGAAAAAAATATAAATAAACCTCGTGTCTGCACTGTTAAAAAAATCTACATATCCTACTAGACAATACTTCACGAACTTATCACATATTCGATTTCTAACCTTGTTCTTAATGTAGCTCAAAGTAGAAAAGACTCTTTCAACACTTGCCGTGTAACCATAAAATCAATTCAAAATTAAGGGTAGCGTGTACGTAGTTTAATTATTAGGTATTGAAAATAGTTGAGGATAAAGAAATAGCGTTTTACTGATGCATGATGTTTAAAATAGAATAACAAATGAGTAGCAACATAATTAGAATATGTTTGATAATAGTAGTGTCCTAGGTTGGAATAACACGGACTACCACTTATATTTTGTTAATCATAAGCAAACCATTATCGAGGGTAGGATAATCATTTTTTCAAATGTTAGGGTGTCCCGGATTACCAATTATATTTTGTATACCCATACGAAACTACTACCGGAGGTTGGATAATCGTTTTTCCAAATTTTAGGGGTGTCCCGGGACACCCCTAGAGGCCCATGTATAGCAAAAGATCATAGTATATTTCTTTCACCAAATATACAAACATTCTATACTATAATACATTCATATCATCATGGTACATTTTCATACCACCATAATATAATACAATATTATACATTATAATATAATATTCCATACCACTAAAATATTATGGTAAAAAAATACAACGACTAGTATTTTATTTTAAGGATGCTCAAAGGGAGTAAAATGTTGGACTTGTGAAGTATAAGTGAGTGGATCAAGAGAGGAACACACATAAATTTCTAACTATACATACGCGAATTAAATAGGTCTCAAGTGCTCTTATACTATATGGACGCACAAACATTCCAAGCGACGAGCTCAGACTACGTGTCATATTCAAAATTTTTGGTCTTCTATCTCTAACTACTTTGCGTAAACTTTATATTATGAAATGATTTGATTGTCATCAAATGTAAATCATGGATCGTCCCCCGCTTCGCGGTAGCCTTCTGGAAGAGATTGAACAACCGAAAAAAGTGAGTAAGCACCCCACACACATCTAATCATCGTTGTATGCCAACAACTATTTGCTGTAATTTTCAAGAGAAGTTGATCAAATGGGGGAATTAAGTCAAGTGCAATGAAATTGTGGTCCGGCTTATCTTGGCTCGCTAGCTAGCAATTAAGTGATACAAGACAGACACTAACAGGGAAAAGGGCTATGTGAGGAGACCATCATTCCATAATACTCCATATATGGGAACTTAAATAATGTTGACAAGTCTGTGTGTTCTTTTTCCCTTCTTGCTCTCTACCGACCGTCGCTCTCCTGCAACAGAACTGAGCCAAAACCAAATCTATTCAGATTTCAGTATCACTACAGTAGTTAGGTCTACTTTCGTTTTCCGAGGTTTTTATAACGCAAATTGTCGTCTTTCTTTGTCCCCAATCATACATGGATATGTGTCTCCAAGCGCTCTGCTCTGTCTCAGCGTGTGAAGCAGAAGCAAAGCCACGCCGCTAATAATATGGCCTGAAAATGTGCACGTACGTAAGTTTATGGTTGTGGGTTTTCCAAGGTAGTCAAATCGGTTTAAGTCGTTGAGCCGGTCAAGTAAGAGGTTTGAGGTTTAATGTTCTGATCGGGGTCCGGCCGGTTTGAGCCGTTGTAGACATTTTCTAAATATATATATATGAATAAGGTAGTAATTAAAGATTTCATCACTGAAATGAAATTTATCTTACATGTATCTATTAAAAACTTATTTTCCACCGCTTAAATCTATCTAACCTCTATGACTCACCCACCATCTCCCTTTCTTCGTTCCTCTTCTTCTCTTCCCCCTCTCTTCTTCTCCCTCTCTTCTTCTCCCTCTTTAGGGGTCAGACCAGGAGCTTTCTAAAAGCGATTTTGAAACCCGACTAAAGTCAAACCGGGTTCAATTGGGTCCGATAGAGGTTTGACAACCTTGGGGTTTTCACACTTCTCTCGCGTATAGTGGAGTAGAGACCCAAAACCTAAACAGTCCGCCATTTGTCGTCTTTCTGGACCTCGCTTTCATTTGGTAGAAATTATGTCTGTTCTCCGAACTATCCAATTCAGTTAATGGGATAAGTTGATTGCTAAGATGATGCTGAAACATTCAATAATTGAAAGGTCATATGATTACAACCTTGATGGACTCATCACCGATCAGATTCTTGTTGTTAACTCTCAATATCTCGCCGTCAGCATCTGTAGATGAATAAATTTTGTATGTTCACATTGGTATATGTCAACTTGTGCTATTATTCTTGTTTACACTTAAACATAATTTTGTAACATATCGATTATTTACTAGACATTTATAGTCATTATAAAGGCCAGATTAACTATAACAATTAATACTGTTTAAACAGGGCGTCAAGGTACTAGATTTTTAAGCCAAAACGACTAAATCTTATAGAATGCGCTATTCTTGTCACGAGAGAGCTAAGTCTGAGACGACCATGTTGATCGCGAGATCTGATCGTCTTAGTCGCGAGATTTGACCACGTTGGTTGTGAGATCTGGCCGTGGTGAAGAGGAGGCAAGCGCCAAGACTTTCAATTCCAGAAGAGAGAAGCACATGGGCGGTTGAGGGAGCAACTATCGATTATTCCACATTCGAGAACACGCCAGCCACGTCCGAGGAAGAAGGGAGGTGCTTCTTTTTGGAAATTACTCAACGACGGTTTTCTATGACGGTTACCTCCTCATGATTATATATAAGAGGATGAATTGACAGAG